TACCACCCTCTACTACCATCACTACCACCCTCTACTACCATCACTACCACCCTCTACTACCATCACTACCAGCCTCTACTACCATCACTACCACCATCACAACCACCCTCTACCACTATCACAACCACTACCAGGCATTTTCTTTACGAGATCCGCATGCAACTGCTTTGCCTTTTTGCAAATGATTGACTCCACAACACTATCTCCCGCTAACTGCTTTTCTTTGATCCACACCAACAACATTTCCACGTCTTCAGTTGTTTGTGATCTCTGTTTCGTTAGCTTATTTACCCCTTCCACAACTTTAGCTAACTTGTTTTCTGCTTTCTTTGCCAGGATGTAGCAGATTGTTGATTTCGACTTCCCATACATCCTGGCAAGCTTGGCTAAACGTACATCACATTTGTATTTTTCTACAATCTATTTCTTGAATTCTATCGTGTTTCTCACCTTCTATACCAAAGGGCTGGCACTAGGAACTTCTTTTGGGCCCTGGTTGCTTACGTTGCAGTCACATTCAATAGTTAAGCAAAGTGATGCTCACTTGACCAGTGACTGAGCCAGAATGAGACACGTATGCATGAGTGGCGGCATCTGGGGTGGGCGGACGCGTCTGATGCGTACGATTTCTGGGTGGAGATACGCAATCCGGACCAAAATTTCACCCAAAAAAGTGGTGTAAATCCGTGTTGTATCTTGGAGATAGGTCATCCTGTAATATTTAACTGTTGTAAGAGAATATGATTATCGTTTATAGCTAAAATAGAGACTTTCAGCATTATATTATTATCTGTCAATATATAAAATATACCATGGTATTATTGCTATTATTATTATCGATATCGATGATTTTTAGCTATTATTATTATTGTTGTTAGGTAGGATTTCTTGTATGTACACCTACCATCCGACTTACGACCGAGTTCGGTTCCGAGAAACCGGTCGTAAGTCGAAATGGTCGTAAGTCGAACTTTACTACTGAATATCAACAAAGCATTTTTGTAATGACTTTATTTTATTGCTTTATTTTGGTATTTCATGTTTTACTTTACTTTTTATGCTGTTAGTACTGTATTTTATACTGTAAGGTTTAGGATAAACACTGTGTACAACACAAATAGTTGTTTATTTCCCAGAAATTTGGCATAAAAAACACGGTTGTAAGTCGAGTGGTCGTAAGTCGAGCAGGTCATAAGTCGGATGGTAGGTGTATATAGAACAGATTGGCAGGGAGTCAGTCCACTCCCTATTCTAGCCTTGACTACTGATCATATTTTGGTTCTCTCTTAGGTGTATACAGTTTGAGTGGGTTTGAGAATTAGGCTTTAGAGCTGACTCATAGTTTGTTCCTCATTGCTCTGAAGATTGTTTTGATATTTATATTCTTGGTCAATTCAGCAATCCTTAGAGATACGTATTCTCAGACAAACTCGTGCTTTCTGCCTCCTGTATGGCCGGATTCAAAGGTCTTGTTGAATCTTGTACGTTTTGTAGTTTGAGTTTACACAGTCTTGCTAAGGCAAAGACGTAGATGATAGTGAAGACTTAATTGCAGGAAGAAAAAATTTATCTTCCTTCTTAATGTGATATTTCCATGAATTTGAACTAAATATATATATATTCTTTTAAATTTATTGTACATAAAGCATTAAGATATGTACAAAGGGAAGATAAAGTATTGTATTCAAATACAGTGGACCCCCGCATACCGTCGGCATCACATAACGTTTAATCCGCATACCGCTCGCTTTTATCGCAAAAATTTTGCCTCGCATACCGCCCAAAAACCCGCTCACCGCTGTTCGTCCGAGACGCGTCCAATGTGCGCCCTTAGCCAGCCTCACATGTGCCGCCGGTGGCATTGTTTACCAGCCAGCCTCCGCGGTAACATCCAAGCATACAATCGGAACATTTCGTATTATTACAGTGTTTTTGGTGATTTTATCTGCAAAATAAGTGACCATGGGCCCCAAGAAAGCTTCTAGTGCCAACCCTACAGCAATAAGGGTGAGAATTACTATAGAGATGAAGAAAAAGATCATTGATAAGTATGAAAGTGGAGTGCGTGTCTCCGAGCTGGCCAGGTTGTATAATAAACCCCAATCAACCATCGCTACTATTGGTGGTACAGCTGCTGCTGCTGCTGTACCACCGTCAGCTGCTGCTGCTGCACTGTCAGCTGCTGTAGCACCGTCAGCTGCTGCTGCTGTTGTACCACCGTCAGCTGCTGCTGCTGCTGCTGCTGTAGTACCGTCTGGTGCTGCTGTAGTACCGTCTGCTGCTGCTGTAGCATCATCTGCTGCTGCTGTAGCACCGTCAGCTGCTGCTGTAGTACCGTCTCCTGCTGCTGTAGCATCGTCTGCTGCTGCTGTAGCATTGTCAGCTGCTGCTGCTGCTGCTGCTGTAGCACTGTTGTTGGTGTGGCTTATTGAGAATACCAAGAAACAATTAACCCCAGAGGATTTGCCACCCAGGATAACCCAAAAAAGTCAGTGTCATCGAAGACTGTCTAACTTATTTCCATTGTGGTCCTTAATCTTGTCTCCCAGGATGCAACCCACACCAGTCGACTAACACCCAGGTGAACAGGGAAAAATGCCTGGAACTAGTGCTCATATTGGTGAATTTAAAGCCAGCAAAGGTTGGTTTGAGAGATTTAAGAATCGTAGTGGCATACACAGTGTGATAAGGCCTGTTCTGGAAGAAAATGCCAAACAGGACCTACAGTACTCAGCAGGAAAAGGCACTCCCAAGACACAGTGTCTCATCAGTCATTGCTGCATCTTCAATAAAGGTAAGTGTCATTTATTCTTCATTTAGTAGAGTAGTATATGCACAATATATATTGTGCATGTACTACTCTACTATTGTGCATGTATCCTTCTCTTTGTGTGTAGGAAAATGTATATTTCATGTGGTAAAAATTTTTTTTTCATACTTTTGGGTGTCTTGCACGGATTAATTTGATTTCCATTATTTCTTATGGGGAAAATTCATTCGCATACCGATCATTTCGCATAACAATGAGCCCTCTTGCACGGATTAAAGTCGCTATGCGGGGGTCCACTGTACTTTAATAAATTTGAATATTATTCTATGGAGTTTCTCAGTGGAAATTATTTCCCCTAGACTCCAAAATACCTTAAACTAACTCTAATCCAATATCTTGTTAACTAAGAAGAAAAATAGTCACAGACCACACTCTGAAGTTTTTTATAAAATTTCTTATTCGCAACAAATGGGGTACCTGTCCCGGATCTCTGTTGTTCTAACATTAATGAAAAAATATATCTTTAAACGTATAAGAGAAAATTTTTGAAAGGACTTAATTTTAAATGAGTTCTTGCTAATTGACCAGTTTTACATATTCGGCACGATATATATATATATATATTTTTTTTTTTTTTTTTTTTTTTTTTTCAACAAGTCGGCCGTCTCCCACCGAGGCAGGGTGACCCAAAAAAGAAAGAAAATCCCCAAAAAGAAAATACTTTCATCATCATTCAACACTTTCACCACACTCGCACATTATCACTGTTTTTGCAGAGGTGCTCAGAATACAACAGTCTAGAAGCATAAACATATAAAGATACACAACATATCCCTCCAAACTGCCAATATCCCAAACCCCTCCTTTAAAGTGCAGGCATTGTACTTCCCATTTCCAGGACTCAAGTCCGACTATATGAAAATAACCGGTTTCCCTGAATCCCTTCACTAAATATTACCCTGCTCACACTCCAACAGATCGTCAGGTCCCAAGTACCATTCGTCTCCATTCACTCCTATCTAACACGCTCACGCACGCTTGCTGGAAGTCCAAGCCCCTTACCCACAAAACCTCCTTTACCCCCTCTCTCCAACCCTTTCGAGGACGACCCCTACCCCGCCTTCCTTCCCCTATAGATTTATATGCTTTCCATGTCATTCTACTGTGATCCATTCTCTCTAAATGACCAAACCACCTCAACAACCCCTCTTCTGCCCTCTGACTAATACTTTTATTAACTCCACACCTTCTCCTAATTTCCACACTCCGAATTTTCTGCATAATATTTACACCACACATTGCCCTTAAACAGGACATCTCCGCTGCCTCCAACCGTCTCCTCGCTGCTGCATTTACCACCCAAGCTTCACACCCATATAAGAGTGTTGGTACTACTATACTTTCATACATTCCCTTCTTTGCCTCCATAGATAACGTTTTTTGACTCCACATATACCTCAACGCACCACTCACCTTTTTTCCCTCATCAATTCTATGATTAACCTCATCCTTCATAAATCCATCCGCCGACACGTCAACTCCCAAGTATCTGAAAACATTCACTTCTTCCATACTCCTCCTCCCCAATTTGATATCCAATTTTTCTTTATCTAAATCATTTGACACCCTCATCACCTTACTCTTTTCTATGTTCACTTTCAACTTTCTACCTTTACACACATTCCTTTACACACATATATATATATATATATATATATATATATATATATATATATATATATATATATATATATATATATATATTATTTTAATATTCAGGGCGCTTCGCAAGAAAACGTATATATACGTTTGGACCGTTTAAGGGTTAAGGAGGGAGGATTTCTTATGTATGGTGTAGGAAAGACTAAAATATTTTTTGTTAAGGTTTCTGCTCCAAATTGTGGATTTATAGTGTAGAAGTGCACCCTTTACTTCTCTTTTCTGTTCAACTGTATTGGTGGATATCATGTCTGCTTGATGACTGCACTCTACTAGTTCAGACCAACACACAGATTCTTTTTTATTTTGTATATTAGGAAAGATTTGTGTGTGGAGAAAAGGGAAAGGGGGTTCTTAATCATTGTTCCTTACTGTGAATATTCAAAACCAATTTTACTAACTGAAAATTGTAATGTATTTACCACCCACAAAATGGGCGTGTGGAGTGCATATTAAAACTATCAAACTAACTTTACCATTGACAATTGAAGGTTTATGTATTTTATTCCAGGCCCTAGGGAACCTTTATTTTATTCATCAAAATGTTCAAGATCTACAAATTTGGGATTTTAAGGGTAAGTTGATGCATCAACTTTGTTTCAGGATTTGACTTTAATGCTTATTATTTTGATAATGTAGAAATTTGGTTATGGTACTATACCTAATGCATGCAGTAATTTTTAATTGATATACCTATTTGCAATCTGACTTTATTCACTCTCAGTACAGTAATTCTAATAAATATTTTCATATTTTTTATTTTGTAAATAATATACATGTATGACAAAAATATTTTATAATGAATTTTTGTTTTTAGCTTACAAGAAGTATTATCAGCTTTGATGACACTTCCCATGAGTGAAACATTGCCTCACAAAATGTTTCAGTATTGTCTCTCTCCTACATACATATTTTTTGGTATATGTATATCGGGTTCCTCTAACCATTTTTGATACTATCACAAATTATGTATACACATCACTTGTACTTTTTCCTATATATCAGCTTTCCTGATGTAGTCTTTGTAATTTTTGCCAATTCTTTAGAGTAGGCAATAAACAGCTTTATAAGTTCCTCCATCAAGATAAGGAGTAATGTGTATGTAAATGAGTGCCTAACTAAAAAACGACAGAACCTATTGTGCAGACTTTGAAAACTTAAGCGTGATAACAATGCAACAATAAAACAGTGCTTTACTCGTAATGACATTATCTTCATAAAATTATCAGACATGGGTCGAAGGTTTGAAATAAGAAATGATCAAGAGCTAGCATGTTTCCTCACTTTCACTGGTTTGAATTTTGTTAAGCCATATCTCAACACAGTATCAACCACGTACAGTGCTGTAGTTTACTAGAATTCACCCTTAAGGTACTAAACCCAGTGCCTCATACATTTTTGACTTTAATACTAATTTTAACCCATATTTTCATATCTATTAGTGAATAACAGTAATTGATTCCCAGTTACTTAAGATACATGAGGTGCTAATTAAAGTGCTAATTCAGGTACTTAAGTGTTATATTTTCTTTGTTTTATTTTATACTCAAAACCATTACTTTTAACTTTAAAATAATTAAGGACCCGGTAGGTCAGTTTCATTCCCCTCCTCTATTTTTCACCTGATTTCTTTTATTTTTGCTAACTCAGATGCTAAAGTGTCTTATTTTCATTGTTTTACTTTCATATTCAGTAGCTCCATTATTTTTAGATTTAAAATAATTATCTTAGTTCATATATTCATATTTGTTAGTGGTTTAACAGCAATTGCTTTTCGTTTTTTAATCCTTTGACTGTTTTGGTCATATATATACGTCTTACAAGCCACCGTTTTTGACGTATATAGACTCATAAATTCTAGCGGCTTCAAATCAAGCAGGAGAAAGCTGGTACACCCACATGTGATAGAACGGATCTGTGTGATCAGTGTGCACCATATAAAAAAATCCTGCAGCACACAGTGCATAATGAGAAAAAAAAACTCTGACTGTTGTTTTTTTAATTGAAATGCTGATTTTATGGTCTATTTTCGTTTAGTATTTATGGTTGTATTCTTGTTTTCTCGGTCATACTGGATAGAATGGAAAACATATTATAGAAATAGAGGTGATTTTGATTGGTATTACTATGAAAAGAACCTTGAAATGGAGCTCAAAGTAGGGGAAATGTTTGATTTTTGCCGATGTTCGAAAGTAAACAAATGATGTTATTTTCTAATAAATGTCCAAGTAGCCATTCTAATATGCAGTCATGAATGGGTTGACATTATTTATACAATTATTACAATATTGCAGTAGTCTGCATAACAGTAAATCTTCTATTTTTTGTTTGAAAAAAAAAAGCTCAAAATAGAAAGCAAGAGTAATATCAGAGGGGCCTGGAGACATGACTGATGAATAAAGAAAATGTTATTTTAGAGCCAGGAATGTCTGCATTGTTCATTCTGGACCCTATTTTGAAATTCATATTTTTTAATTTTTGTGAAATTGGCCAAATTGCAAATTTCTGACCACGTTATTGGGTTGTTGAAATCAGTAAATGGGCAGTTTCTTGTGCTCAATCGATAGAAAACATGGTGTTCTAAAGAAATAGCTATGAGTTTGGTTGACTGGAACAACAGAATTAGCCGAAAATAGGGCTCAAAGTGGATGAAATCACCGATTTGTAAATATCACCGAGGTCGCTGACTTCGTGAGAGTGTAATTCCGCCAGTTTTACATCAAATTTCGTTCTTTTGGTGTCATTACAATCGGGAAAAGATTCTCTATCATTTCATATGAAAAAAAAAATTTTGGGGGGGGGGGGGGGAGGGAAATTTTGTGACACCTGGAGACACCTCAGAATTTTCCAGTGGGCAGTGGAGAACAACATGACATTCAATGGTGATAAGTTCCAGCTGCTTAAATATGGAAAGAATGAACTGAAAAGGAGCACTATATATGCAAAACTCAAGAGGGTCACCAAATAGAACATAAGGAACATGTAAAAAACCTAGGAATAATTATGTCAGCGGACCTTTCTTTTGAAGATCATAACAAGATAAAGATCTCGACAGCCAGGAAGATGACGGGGTGGGTGTTGAGAACTTTCAAAACATGGGAAATAATGCTTCTCAAAGATCACTTACTCACCCAAAACCAAATAAATACTGAATAACTAAACCTTATAAATTGTATATCTTAAATGTTTCTCACAATTATATCACATAAATGTTAAACATAAGACCCAATCTAACTTTGTTATTTTTTTAAATATACTGCCTAACAGAATACTCCATTCTACTGAATGTACAACAATGCATGCAACCATATGACCTGTCTTTGTAATACTCATTTGTGCTTTATTGTTATCTGTTTACAATAATGTTTTATCACTGATTACATCATTGCTTAGTTAATCTTAAGTTAATTTTAAGCCTGCCCGTAATGCTATGCATACAAGTGGCTTTGGCATGCTGCTCTTACCTGTATTTTTTTGTGCCTCTGTATGTTCAAATTATTAAATAAATAAATAAATAAATAAAATAAATGGTGACACTCATCAAATCGCTAGTGCTCCCTCACTTAGAATATTGCTCACTGCTGACGGCCCCGTTCAAGGCAGGAGAAATATCTGAGCTGGAACAAATAGTGATCATTTACAGCTCACATTGAGCCTGTAAAGCACCTAAACTACTGGGAATGCCTGCAGTCTTGAACATGTATTCATTGGAGCAGAGGAGGGAGAGGTACATGATAATATATACCTGGAAGGTACTCGAGGGCTTAATCCCAAATCTGCACACTGCCATAACAACATACTGTGAGAGTGAGAGATATGGGAGGAAATGTAAAATAAACACAGTGAGGAGTAGGGGTGCAGTGGGGACAATAAGGGAACACTGTATCAACATCCGGGGTCCCAGACCATTCAGCATCTTACCAGAAGATATCAGAAACATGGCCAGGTCAGATCAACCAGGCTGTGATGGATATGTGGGGCAGCGGGCCTCCAGCAGCAACAGCCTGGTTGACCAGGCAAACACCAGATGAGCCTGGCCCATGGCTGGGCTCAGAGAGTAGATAAATTCTTGAAACTCTTCAAAGGTATATCAAAAGTAAAGTTGTACTTACATTTTTAGCAGTAATCTTAGAAACATGATAACTGAGTCAGAGTTGAATAAACACCATCTGATACTTGCAGGAGATTTCAACATTAACCTCATCCAAGCAACTGACCCCCCAGTAGCTGATTTCACAAACACTATGAACAACAGCTTGTTGCTACCCTCTATAACTAAGCCAACAAGAATCTCTGAGATAAGTGCCTCATTGCTTGACCCTATCTGGACCAACACGATATCCCCACTACAAGCAGGTATAATCACAAACAACACCACAGACCACTACCCTACCTTTCTCATAACCAACTTCTGTAAATTGCTTCAAGTAAGAAGAAAGGTCTCATTTTGCCTGCATGATGAGGCATTGGTAAACAACCTAATTCTAGCACTAGGTGCCACTGATTGGCATAGAGAGCTAGCCAACAGGAATAATATTGACAAAGATGTCAAAAATTTTTTACATAAAACCCTAAACCTCTATAACAAACACTGTCCAATCATAACAAAACAGATCACAGAAAAGACTGAACAGCTCATGGCTAACAAAAAGTATCCTCAAAGCTATTAGCCCTTTCAGGGTCGAGAGGCCCTCTCCTAAACTCGTTCTCAGGGTCGAAAATTTTTCAGAAAACAAAATTATTTTTTCTTATGAAATGATAAAGAATCTTTTCCTGATCATAAAGACACCAAAAGTATGAAATTTAATGGAAAACTTACGGAATTATGCACTCACGAACTTAGTGATCTCGACGATGTTTACGCATCGGCGATTTCGCCCACTTTGAGCCCCATTTTCGGCCAATTTCAGTGTGCTAGTCGACAAAAATCATATCTATTTTGCTAGAACTCCATTTTTTCTATCGAATGAGTACGAGAAACCATCCATTTACCGATTTCAAGTATTCAATAAAGTGGTCAAAAATTGGCAATTTTGCCAGTTTCACACAAATTTCAGAAGATGCCAATTTCCAAATAGGGTCCAGAATAAGCAAGAGAGACATTCCTGGCACTAAAATAACATTTTCTCTGTTCATTAGTCACATCCCCAGGCCTTTCTTACATCTCTTTTGCTTTCCACTTTGAATTTTTATTCTCACAAAAAATAGAAGATTTACTGTTATGCATTAGTGTAAAAATGGTGTAGAAATGGTATAAATAATATCAGTGCACTTGTGAAAGAATATTAGACTCGCCAGTTGACGTGTATTGGATGCTTGGCATAATTTGTTTACTTTTAAAATTTGGTAAAAATCGAACAATTCTGCTATTTTGAGCTCAATTTCAAGGTACTTTTCATTATGAAACCAATCAAGATCATCTCAATTTCTGTAATATGTCTTCCATTCTATAAAATGAGACTAGGAAAACTAGAATGCAACCATAAACAGCATACAAAAATACACTGCAAAGTTGCTGTTTTAAACCAAAAACACGGTCGGAGTTTTTTTTTCTCATTATGCACTGTGAGCTGCA